CAACAACGCAAAACCATTGTCACTGTCACAAAAACGCAGTCAGATACACGCCAATACAAGAAACGCGGACGTGACAGAAGCAAGGAACGACTGTAGGAAACACAGGGATTGAGAAAAAGGCTTACCGAAAGAACAAACCAAGCTCCCTGAGATTCTTGCGAGTGGGTAGCATAGCACGCATGGGCGCGATTGTGGTCGGTTTGCCTTGCTGCATACCCGACCTGGAGGAATAACACGGAGCCAACGGTGTCAACAACAAGAAACACCACTTAATTGGACATGGACGATTATGCTACTAACAGGAAACCAAGGAGCACCGGCGGCGCCTTACTCCAGCCAGCGACTCCCTGTGAGCCGCCTGTGATCCGCGTTATGAAGGTGGCGCACGCGATGTGCGCGTGGCCAGCGTGACTTCGCCGCCAGGCAGGAAAAGTTCGCCAGCTGTGCCCCGCCGTCCGGCAACTGGGCTGGGGAGCCTCCAGGGTGCCCACAATACATAGGAAATGTCTTCAAGCAATACATTTCTTGCTGTTTTTTTTATTTTTTTATTTCCGACTATTTTTGAGAACACAAGATAAAAAAAAATTATTAATATTGTCATTAGGGTAGTTTCATCTCAATTAGACCAAACGAGTCGATTTTTGGAAAGTAAGTAGAGGCGATATCCGAAACCTGGAGTGAACAAAACTGTGCTTTAAGGCACTCACAATGTTTTTATAGAAAATGCTATAAATTAATTGGCAGGAATGCATCTAAACTTAATTTGATGCTTTTGCAACTTTGGTCGTTGTTTAGAAACCGTTGAATTATTTCACTATGCTAATATGTTTTTAACATCTAAAGACGATCGTTTACTATTCCTAAAATAAAAAAAAAAGTTTTATGTTTAGCCTTCATAATATATTTTTCTACAAAACATTGGACACTTGTTATCACGAAAGATTTTGCCTAGAATTTTAGGTTATTGTAAGAACTTAACCAATAAAAACTATGACACAAACCAAGCATCAAAGTGTAGCTCTAGACATAAGTTATCTTAAAATGTATTGTGCGTTCAGGTGAGATTTATTAAATTAATTTTGCTGGGCTCCAAACTTACTCAAATATAAAATGATTTGAAATTCTTCATTACAACTCTTCTGCAAAGGCTATATTTTAAATATTTGTGTAGATTCCCCATGAGGGTGCCATTTACCGAATATAAATATTGATGCACGTTTATTTTGTGTATTTTGAGATAACCAGTTTAATAGGTTTTTGCTTCAAACTTGTAAAGAAAACTAAAAGATTAATTTATTTTTGAATAAAGTTTCTAAAAAAACCTCACATTAAAAAAAACCCTTTTTGTGGATTGCTTTTGTATTATATAATCACTCTATGTAAATATTGGTAGAGATTTTTTTTCTTGTGTATTCCTTGGGCAAGCGGGTAAAAAAAAAATACTTTTACTTAACTTGCAAACTGTGGCTCGGCAACCCTCTAATGTGCTAAAAAATAACACATGTTGCAAAAAACGACTTTCGCATAACATATTCTGTTACATTTTTTTTTCAATATGAGGCTCAATTCATTTCAACAATGTTCCTAGCTAAAGTAAAGCACTTCGCCCTAAACAAACCGCAGAGAAAGTCTCCATGCTTCTTATTGTAGCAGGAAAGTGTTTTATCTTTCTTTTATTTCAAAATAATCCCTAAAGGATCAGGTTTGACAACGAGCGATGAATAAAATGGAGAAGTGATCAATGAACCAAGCTCCAACACGGCAGGTTAGAACTTGAAATCTGTGTCATGTTTGTGCGCCATTGGCGCGTGTCGGATTGAGCATTGATTGAGAACGTGCTGGGACAACAATAATCCGTTTTCTAAAATAAATACCATTGAGTTTATATAATATTGGGTAAACCCTACAAGAAACAACACTGTGTACTTGCCTAAACTTACCTTCTAGCACCTACAGCAAGATTCGAATTAAATTTGACCAGCAAGAGAGATGTACGCACTAAGCACAACTCCACAACCACTTTGTTTCCTAGCGGTGAATGAAAGCTACTTAGCATTATTTAGTTTGTGAATTAAACGTTATAAATATATATATATATATATGTATATACTAAACGGGCAAGGTGGCAGGAGGCCGAAGGCGTGGGTATATTACCGAGAAGAAAAAACCCTTGGTGAAAACAGCAACAACGGACGATTTATTCTTCGACGTTTCGGCCGGAGTCCGGCCTTCGTCAGGAAGCTTCAAGACAAAGGCCGGACTCCCGCCAAAGGGTCGAAGAATAAATCGTCCGTTGTTGCTGTTCTCACCAAGGGTTTTTTCTTCTGTTATATATATATATATATATATATATATATATATATATATATATATATATATATATATATATATATATATATATATATATATATATATATATATATATATATGATATAAGATATATAAGAACATAGAAGCACCATATAAGAAGCTTTTGGGAAGTTTCTCGTAAGTTTTTTTATGATTCTTATATATCTTATATAATTCTTATATTGTTCTTATATGGTTCTTATATGTTCTCTTATATGTTGTATAATTCATATCTATTTATTAGACGCAAGAAAGTTCTCATAAAAAATGACTTTTTTGCTAGGGTATGTACGGTGCTTTTTTCTTTTAATGTAACAGAATTTTTACAAATTAACTATCAGAGCAGCGCGGATGGCGTTTTCAGGAATGGGTTGTAAGGCGAGGCGGAAAATACACTGCGGAAGAAATAAAACTAAAAGACGACTAATTAACAAAAAATCTGTAATTAACTTTTTAATTACAGTTTTTAGGGCAGTGATTTATATGACAGATTTCGAGGCAGTACATAATAACTGGGACCAGCCCAATTTTGAGAATCCCGGAAAGCGCTAGTAGCTTGAGACGTGAGTTATGGAGCTTTGGGCATTCAGTCCAGCGTAAACCGAAACCAAGCACACGAGGAGGGTCGGAAGCATCATCCCTATAAAAAAATCTCATTTGTATGAGAAATTTCTGTGTCGAATAAACACATATGAATCACGCAGGATATATAAGAACATAGCCATATAAGAACCACACAAGAGCTGTATAAGGTATATAAGAGCATATAAGAACCATATAGGGGAAAACTTCTGAGAAGTTTCTTATAAGTTTCTTATACGGCTCTTCTAAGATCTTAAATATCTTATATAGTTCTTATATGTTTTTATATGTTCTTAGGTAGCTTGTATGATTCATATGTGTTTATTGGACAAAAGCAATTTATCATACAAATGGCTTTTTCACTAGGGATACCATCCCACGTCGTAAAGCAATGACCAGTGACGAAATCCACTTCATGATTTTGATTGATGGCAGTTCGAAAATATTCGCAGTTGGCCTATAGCTACTGGGCAAATATAAAGACGAGTTATCTGACGAGCCCGTACGCGCCGCCTCGTTTGACGTCTGATATCGGAGACGAGACATTTAATTACGATTTCAAGAAAACGTGACGATAAAAAAAAAATTAGTACCAGTAGAGACGCTGATGAGTTCTGTAACCGGTGCTACTTGGACGAGAACGCTGATCGCGCTTCTCTGCAAGAAAGACGCGAGTGTAGAATTGATCGAGATTTGCTGCTGTGCTTACGACCACCCGTTGCAAAACACGCGAAAGAAAATTAGGGAATCGCAAACTACATTACAGCGCAGTGCAGTGCAGACGACTAAGACTGTCTTATACGCGACCTTTGAGGCTACAAGGACCTGTTATTGTCCAGATCATAGCAGCAACAATCTGGTCCCGCTGTATCCGCATTGTTACTCCGCTACAACCATCCTTTTCCCTAAATGTTCTTGTGAGGTTTTTCGCCTAGATTTTGTACAAATACGACGAATCTGCGTGTGTTGTTTTTGTACTCGTTTCCCTCTTTCAAAGTTTTTCTTCATAATCTGTTAAGCCTTTTCTAAAGCTGCGGCTGGAAACAATCACAGCTAACCAATGTGGCTCAACCGTGTGGTTTACTTCGCATATTTCTATACCGACCGGTTTTTGTAGTGGCGAAAAATAAATTCAAGAATGAAAAGTTCACAACGACAAAATTTATTTGATTGATCACCCAGGATCGATACCTAATACAAACAGTACCTATCGTATGCATAACTCCTGAGCAAAAACACAGCTTAAATCAAAACAGCAAGAGAACAATTATCAGCTTACTAAAATCATTGGATTTTTTAAGGCGGAACTTATATCTGGCCCTAGTGGGAACCAAATTTCTTTCTTATAAAACAATTATTTTACCTAAACTAGAATATGCAAGCATTCTATGGCAACCGCATCAATATTATAAAATTTCAAAGAAAGTATGTTCAAAACAAGGCTGCCCGGTTAATATTAAACGATTCCTCGCCTGAAAGTACTGTCTCCGCTTTAAAATCGTATCGTGCACTTTCTTTGTTAACCAACAGGCGAAAACTTAATGAAATAAGCTTTTTCCATGTGATGTACTGCAGCCGCTCATACTTGAGAAACATATATTTCCATTCCGACCATTATATTCTTCCTCGCACCAATCATTCATGTGAAGTTCAGCAATTACGCTCTCGTGCTTTATATTTTAAAATTGTGCCCCTCATACTGTCGATTACAAAATTGAATGACTTGCCAGAAGATACAAATGATGAGTCATTTAAAGAAATGTTTCCCCAGTAGACCATGTTTAACCTCGTACGCTTTATGTTCTTGCAACTCCCTTTTTGTGTTAATTTAGCAATGAGTTCTGCGTAACGCGTTAACCTGATTTGGCCTCTTGGTTTTCGGTAATTACTTATGATATGATTATTTTGTTATGAATGTATCTTGCCACCCACCCCCCTAATGCAATGCCCCCTTAAAAGACGACTTGGAGGTAAATAAATAAAACAAGATGAAATGAACCTATCCACAACCCACTTTTGTCTGCTGATGTTATCAGAGGAGAAACGTCTTTTATGGCTATGTGGCGCAGGACTGGTCGTTCGACCGACTCAAACGCTTCCTGGAAAACGGAATCATGCCGAACCTGCAGTACGCCATCGAGTTTGCACTCGACGACGCCGTGCAAGACGTCATCCTGATCCAGGGAACCGTGAGCTCTGTCGACGGCGAGGAAACGTACACAGGCCCTGTCTCTCTGCCGGTCTCCCTCAGGAACATGACGCTACCCGTACGTTCAATCGACTCGTCACAAGTCGGCCATTAGGCTCATGCGTAGATCTCTTGGCGGCTTAAAGGCTGTCCATACAAAATACAACAGCTGCCAAGGATGGCAAAAAAAAAGAATAAAAAAAAACGCGCTTTATTTCTGAAAGGTGTGATTGTTTCGGTCCACGCTTACATTTCCATCGGGACGTCACATGCGCAAACAACGTGGCTTTCGTCCTCGCCTACTCGCTGTCGTGTGCTCCTCTTTCTTGCTTTTGAGAGATTGGGGACCGACAACGACTGCAGAGGCCTTCATGACAGCGAGCAGAGCGTGTGATTGGCTGTCTGGACCCACGTGATGGGCACGCGTCGAGGTGTTTGTCCAAAAACGCAAGCGTAACGAAAAAACAAAACAAAAAACAAATACAGGAGGGTACTTCAAGTGGCCCTGAGGATGTTTCTCTGATCGCCTAATTAAGGTGATAACTCACTTCGCGGGCTCTAACCATCCTAGAAATCTTTGAATCGCGAAAATCCGCGCTCGATTTCTCCATTAAAAAAGCAATCAAAGACAGAATACACCGAGGCCATCGCAGAGAATGGGAGGAGCCTTTCAAATGAAATCAAGTCAAATCAAGTTCTGTTTGTTGTCACATCTCCTTACATGACAATGGGGGACTTGGTACAAAAAGCTGCTGGGTAGCAGCTCGATGAAGGTCCCAGGCGCCGTGCAGTTCGAAACAGCAAAAAGGTAAACAAACCCCCCCCCCCCCCCCCAAAAAAAAAAAAAAAAAAAAAAAAAAAAAAACTAAATATTACATAAATGTAGACACATATTATACAAATGTTTGGTGTAATGAGCACTTTGGGCAAAAACAAACAAACACAATACCCGACAATAAACAACGGGAGCGGTGAGCAAATACACAAAGATAGCACACAAGATAAAAACAACGCCAGCATTCACAAACTCATAGAGAAGAAAGTCAAATTTACTAACCCTTTGTGGAAACGTGCCTCTAAATTTATACTCTTTTTGTTCAGAGTGTTCAGTTTCGTGGACAAATTAAAATGAAGCGTCTGATCAAAGTAACTTTTGCGGGATGGACGGATTGCCCAGGGCTGATTTTGCCTAAGGTCACGCAGGATGATGCGACGTTTTAGGTTAGCTAAGTGAATGTAACCCTGTTGGAAAAACGTACAAGGAACACACCTGCTGCTTTTACACTTCTGCTATGACAGCACCTTAATTTCTTGTTATTATTAATGCAGCGAGTTTGGTTTGGCGTTCTACATAACTAGAGATACCGGCACCGCTATGGCTCCGCGTCTGTCTATACTGGCAGCCAGTTTGCTTGCCCATATGATTCGGGGTGGCTGGTATGATTTTGCGTCCGATGACGCAGGCGACCGCCGTCTTTTTAACGATTACGCTTACATCACAGGACCACCGGTATCGTTAGATATACAATCCATGTCGAAACGGAACATAGGCCGACGTTGAGCTCCACACGAATTCCTCGGTCAACTCTTCGCGGCGACGTTTTGGGGCGACTGTCTCGAATGATGTGCGCCACAAGTATTCGACAGCCGCACCAGCCGTACCGCATAGCAAAGCCAACGTGCACGGCAACAAACCGATCGTGACACCAAGCCGAGGATACCGCATCACCGATCGACAGCGGCAAACGGCCCGTTGCTGGTACCGTGACTCGAACTCGGCCAACTCGGCGTCTTTTCGTGGCTCCTCTCGCCGTCGCAACCAGCCGCCACCCCACGATGCCCATGACCCCAGAACCGAAACCGGGGTCGGCTAAAAGCGAAACGTAAAGCTTCCGCTCATTGACTTCCGCGTCCGCTGCTCGCCTCCCAACCTACCCGACCGGAGGAGATGGTGGAGACGTAGCGGCCTGGGGGTCGTCGACTCGTTCTATGAATACGGGACAGATGTTTGGCCGTCCGTTTCTACTGCCACTCTGGTTCTCAACTGGACGGCGACTCTCCTAGTTCAACCAGGTGTGGTCAGCCTGGGTCAGCCCAGCACGGCCGGCTCGACTCGTCCGATCGCCGGACCGCCGACCACTGTGAAGTCCGTCCGTCAGGCCTAGGATCCGAAGCCGTCTGTCTTTCCATGAAGCGGTAAGCAAATCTCGTCCCCTTTTCGTTCTACTTGTAAATAGACTACTTCCATAAAGCCCTGCATGCAACACGGCGCGCGTTGCACTCTGGGAACCAGTTGGCCACGGAGGAGGGTGGCATGGTTTCGGTTTCGATAGACACGTCGACAAGAGATTGTTTTTTGGTGCGGAGAGCGTCATTTGTGGTCTCTAAACTAACCTAAATGGCCAGACCTCGAAGCTTAGCGAAAGCCTGAGACGTATAGCTTGTCTTAACACATGCTTGTTGTATTTTTGCACTTGAGCCTTCCTATTAGCGTTCCAATCGAGGTATGTGGACGAGCCAGTGCTGGGAATCTCGACGCTGCGAAGTACGGGGATCTTGCTTTTGTACGAATCAACAAGCTGTAGCAACCAATAAATATGCACACATCGAACTCGCACCTTGACATTAGTGTTGTTGATCAGGAAGTTTGTTTCTTTCGTGAGTCCGTAGACGAAATAATACTTTTTGCAATTACTGTTTTGCTTAATATGCCCGAGTATGCGAGGTAAAACTCGGAGGCGCTATTGAAAAGCTAAATTTTAACACACTTCTTATCTCTTATCTGAACAAACCCGCAGCACTGCACGAATTGAAGTCCCCACCCGCTTGCATTCCACTAATATTCAACATCGCGTATCCGCATAAAGTTATCCTGCAATCATATAGGAAAATTCGCACATACAGACTGTTTTAAGAAAGCAAAAGTCGAGCAATTGTGTGAAGAATGTCGCACCGTTCGCCGGAAGTGCGCCGGACGGGCATGAACCCTATGCGCACCGCATAGGGGTTCATGCCCGTCCGGCGCACGGTGCGACATTCTTCATACAAGCGCTCGAACGAATTCAAAGCGCGTTTGACGGTTGCTAATGGCCATAATATTTGTTAAGTGTTTGCTGTCTTCCTGCCTGAGTATGCCGAGGTAATTTCAGCCACACCGTTTAGGCACAGATCTTGGGCGTCAGTAAAAGCTCGTCCAAAAAGGTTTAGCGAGGAGTAGGGGACGCTTGTTATAGGGCCTCCGTCGTAGCTAGCCGATCTCAGCGTTTGCAAAACGTTAATCTTCTAACAGCATAAAATTTGAGTGGGAGATATATGATGACGAAGAAGACATCATAGTAATTTTTGTGCAGTAGTGAGGGCGAATTTATTGCGTTTCCTTCAAAGTTCATGCGTAAACGCTGGGCTCAACTTTGATTCCCTGTGAGGATGCGGCTTGCTTTTCACCCACTCAAGTAACAAGAAGCGGACGCTTGGCAAACAAAATACGTGTGAGGCTCCAGATGAACAAATTTCAGTTCTAGTTCACCGGTACGAGACGGGATTATTGAAATTGAGCTCAAACATGCACTCGTGGGGTGAGGTGACCAAGCTACGACTTACTACGTTCGCATACGCACGTACAATATCCGGTGTTTCGGGAACCAAGGACAGTGCCCCGGTCTTCGTTTTGTATCGCTCGAAAATGAGTGCATTGTACGTCAGTGAAAAGTCAGATAATCGAAAACGCAAGCAGCGCGTTCGGTCGTGGCGTGATAGCATGAGATGAAGCTGCTCAGTCGAAACCGAAACTGAGTGGCCAACTAGTTCCCAGAGTGCACTGCGTGGTATTTCGCCGCAATGGGGCGCGTCGGTTTTGGAAGAAGTTCATTATGTTAGTTGCGCTGAGGTGTAAATATATGTGTTAGGTGTTCGTGACAATTTTGAGCTAGAATAATGGTGCTTAGTCACGGTTTGTCATTTATCGTAAATGTAAATCGAGCCGATGAACGAGGAGTCATGCTTGAAAACGATTTATGTACTATTTTAAGGCGGCTTAAAAAATATAAAAAAAAGTTTATGGCTGGATGCGAGGCTGGTGCTAGTGCCGTGGTAAGCACTTTAAACGCCTTTCTGAACGGCATGTAAGCAATAGAGCGATCGACGAGACGAGCGACGGCGACGAGCAACAAGTGCCAGCGACGAGCGACTATGATTTCTCAATGTCGCTGCTTGCGTCGCTCGGTTTTTGGGTTTCTAAAAAACGTCGCTCATCGCCTTGGTCGCTGGAACCAATCGCTTTCATAAGGTGTGTCTCGCCGCACGGCTGACTGAGCGACAGCGAGTGCTCGTCGCTCGCCAAATCACTTAAATGAAGTACACCCCTACACCTTTCTGTACCGGTGCAGGAGGTGCATCTAAATTGAACGAACCTTTCATACACCGCGAGCGTTCTCTTGACTAACTCATACTAGCGATTGGTTTCACCCTGTCGATTACACTTACGCAGTGTCGAGCGTTACGCCCGACGGAACCTGAAATAAAAATTAAAGTTACGTCAGACGCAACTTTACGTCAAGGTTTTGAGTTGCGCCCGACGTAACCCAATAGGAAGATTAAAGTTACGTCCGAGGGACCTCCAAATAAAAAATAAAGTTACGTCCGACAGAACTCGAAATAAAGAGCGAAACAACGTCGGACGGAACCCGAAATAAAAATTAAAAATACGTCAGACGTAACTTTACCCTAAGGTTTCGAGTTACGTCAAACGGAAATAAGTTACGGTCTGTGTGATCTACAGAACCTTATTAAATGGCACGCTTTTTGGCCGAAACAGGACGTAAACAGAAAAAAAATATTATAAATTACTTCTGCACTACGTCCGATGAAGCATTCGTGAATCGATTAAAATCGCGAGTTTATCCGTACCTTCAGGTTTGTGGAGGGGGTTGGAGTGTGTTCCCCCTATATAGAAATGATTAGTCTTGTGCGAAGAGTAAATTTTGAGTCCGAAGCGAATTCGAAGCGAATAGTGGTTTTGGCCGAATATGTTCAATTCGAATATCGAATAGTTTTTCCACGCCTTTCACTAAAATTGCATAA